GGTGACACAGTTCAGCCTCTAGCACTCAGCGCCCACCTGGACATGGCCTCTGACTGCAGAACGCCCTCCCCCAACATCTTCTGGACTTTGCACCCTGGGTGAGAATTGGGCAGGTTTGTGGAAGAGAATGGGTGAGGATGAGGAGGCCGCATGATGTGTCCAAACAGGGTTTTCTGTGCCAGAGCCCTTTCCTGGACGGGACTTAGAACTGGCCATGGCAGCTCCTGGACTGTGCTCCCTGTGTAGGTGGGACCCTGGGCTGCCCCTGTGGGGTGTGGGACTGACTGTGTCAGATGTGGACATGGCCCAGCTCAGTCCACAGGCTGTGAACCTGGACTCTGGAACCCACCTTCTTGGCTTGTGTCTTGACTCTGCCCTTCACAGGCTGTGTGACTTCGGACAAGTTGCTTAACCTCTCTGTGCTACAGTTGCCTCCTCTGTATCACAGGGATAAATAATAGTCAATAGCCTCATGCCCAGGTAGTAGCAGTGGTGGTAGAAGGACTCTTGACCGTTGTCACTGTTTATTATAGTGTTATTTCCATTTTACACATGGAGAAACCGAGGCCTGGGAGTTTATCCAACTTGGCCGGGCTTATCATAGCAGGCACAGGTTATGAACCTGGAGTTGTCCAAGAGCAGATCACACCGCCCCGTGTCCGTGGACAGGTGTCCGCATGCCGACCCCATCAGCTTCTGTGTCTACGCGACCCACCTTACTCACCTGTACCCCCTGCGCCAAGCTGTTGAAAGTGAGAATGAGGGAGTCTTCCTCAAGAAAAGAAACTCTTCATTAGGCTTCCTATTTGTGTCTTCAATTATGCTGTCAAATGCTAAGGAGTTTAGACACTTACTGCCAGCGCCGGGCCCTTGGTGACGGCGTACACTATTTGCATAATCAGCATGGGGGGACCCGCGGTAGTTCCACCCGACTGTTTGCCCAGAATTGACACTGATCAATTTAGAGGGAGGCACAGTCGGTGATGGAATTAAGTGGTAGCAAACACACTGTCAGTACATGAAATCCAGACAGAGACAAACAGCCCGGAGATGGATGGGCGGGAAGCGGGGGCCCGCCGGTGCAGGAGCAGTGGAGGCGGTGGACCTGGGACCTGTGTGCTGAACGCCGAAATGCTTCCTTGGAAATTTCACAGAGAGTCGTAGGCAATAAAGGTCAGCGGTGGAATATTGTCACAGAATAATGACTCTGTGCCGCTGGGTAAATGTTAAAGCTTTTATTGGGGTGAGACGTGGATGTCTGGCTGGCTCTGAATTCAGTGGGTAATGAATACAAATCTATAGCGTCCATTCTCAAGAGGGAACGTGGCTCAGCTGACCCCACATTCACGAGCCAGTGGCCTGGACAGGCTTTTCTGGCTGGGGCAGCGTGTTTGTGAAGGCAGCCCTGGCTTAGGCAGCTCTGGCCTGTCCTGCCCCAGCCCTCAGCCCTCATGCCCATACCGTACTCCCCGGCAGTGCACACAGCTATTTGCTGTCAACAACAGTTCTTGCCTCTCATCCTGCTTTGGTGGAGTCCTGGGGCCTCTGGACCTGCTCTCGGCCCTACCGCCCATGTGAAGCCAAGAAGTGTGTGCTCCCCTCATTGATCCTCCCCCGTGTTCAGGATTTACTGAGGACTCGGACAAGAGAGTCCTTCCACCAGCACCCTCCACCCACCGCTACCCGGATAGGAGACAGCTGACCTCAGGATGGCACCTTCATATTCTAGAATTTGAGAGAGACGGAAAGGGGATCCCCTACCCCAAGGAACCTCTCTCTCTCTGTCTCTCTCTTTATTTTTTTTAAATACACCTAATTGGATTCAAATCCCTCTGGGCTATGAGGTCCTGTTTCCCTTCTGTGCTGTCCATGGTGGTGTCCACGACGCATCATTCGTTTGGCCCCTGGCTTCATGGAACGTCAGCTCCAGGCCTTGTCTGCTGGGGTGAGAACCACAGTGAGGGGGTGAAGGAAGAGGCTGCTGCGGTTGTTGATCTGTCCTCTGTTACCTAGAGGTGCTCTCAAGACCAACGAGGGCTGTCATGGAGCTCCTGCTGTGTCCATGTGCAGGCAAAGAGTGGCTGTTTCTAGGTTACCCCTTAAGAAATGTCTCCTTGGGGAAATGGGGAGTTGAAAATTTGCCAGGTAGACACAGAAAATCTCCAGCAAAAGCAGACCTTTAGAAATCACAAAAATCTCCTATTTGTTGACTTGTGTGTCTCCGGGCCCTTCATGAACTGATAAGAAAAGTCATTCCTACTGAGACAGGACTTTAGATTCTATCCTTACTCCTTGTAAATTGCTCTCCTCGGATCCCAGGTGCAAGTGCCGTGAACCCTTGGTGCTAGAATTACTGACGTCTGCAGCAAATTGCAATTTAGACTTTCTGGAACATCAACATAAAAGAACACTTGGACTCCTTCTTTGTAGCCAAATGTTAGGTCTGGGATGTTTCTTGGTCTTATCTGTTCCCTTCTTGTTTCAGCAGCATCTCGTTCTCAGAATCCTAATTAGCCAGGTGTGGCTCTTTTGACCATTACTCTCGAAAATGAGTCTCAGTTCCCGACTTCTTCTCTGTGACTAGATTCCTCCCAAATGGTTCCCCCCATTTGGTACCATGGGTCGTGATGGGCTGCTGCTCCTCTGAGCTGCACTCTCTGCCTCTGCCTTCGGATGACAGGGGAGCCACTCAGGAGCACTGTCTGGAGTGGAGCCTGAGTCTCACAGGAGGGTGTAGACTGCAGCAGACCGCTCCCTGGTGGCCTGGGGGTTAGAGTCTAATCCAGAAAGTGGAGACCACCCTGGGCCTTTCCGACAGAGGTATCTGAGCAGGGAATTAATGACCAAGATACTGGACAGGCCATGGACCCTGGAGAACAGCCAGGCAGCCCCCCACTAAGAAACTGCAGAAAGCACTGAGGAGAAGAGGGCCCAGGGGAGCAGTGCCCGAGGCTGGGATTGCCAGGGAGGGGCCACAACCCAAGAAAGCCAGGTATTTGAAGTTGAGGAAGGGCAGCACTGTGGGCATCTTCCTCGATGCTGGATGCTTAGGTAGAGCAGTACCTGGCACATAGCAGGTGCTTGGTTTCTGCAGGGTGAATGAAGGAATTAGTGAGTGAGTGAGTGAGTGAGTGAATGAATGAATGAATGAATGAATCCATCTATCTGAGGCTCATTTTGAGAGAAAGGATCTGATTCGATGCTGGAAGAAGAACACACTTCTTGTCTGGCTACATCAGAAGGCGGCACCAGGCAGCGTCTTCTGGCTCCTTGCTAGCAGGCTCATGGGTGATTTTGGAAATGGATGCTTGTGACCCCACCCTCTGCTGCTGAGCCTGCCCGGCCACCCCACCCCACCCTGAGGCACACCTCCATCTAATGGGCTGTTGGGGAATGAGGCACGCGCAGCTGCATCTCAGCCTGGCCATTCCGTCACTTGACTTCTGTACTTTCTCAGACACCTGCCCCCACCGCGTGCCCTTACTCACGGTGAATTCAGCCTCCTGGGCCCATGGTATTCTTCTCCTTGTCCCTTCAGAATAGTATTTCCACGCTCCCGTGCTCTAGATTCTTTGTGAGGCTAAATTTAGACGTCGCCTAGTTCTGCAGCATCTTTGCTTTTCTCTATAATGGTTTGTCCAGTGAGAGAAGTCTGCCAGCCAGACCCTAAAAGTTGAGTCTTTTCCTTAGAGCCTGCGGTGGGGTGCAGGTCTGACTGTAATCCTCTCACGGGCATTGTAGGGACCCCTTGAACCCCACTCCATGGGATCTCCAAGGAGGAATGTTTTAGCCCACTCAGGCCACTGCAACAAAGTACCATGAGCTAGATGGCTCATAAACGATACATATTTATTTCTCACCATTCTGGAGGCTAGAAGTCTGAAACCAGTGTACCAGAGAACTCTCTAAGGCCCCCCCCTTTTTTTTTTAAGACACTCTCACTCTGTTTTCCAGTCAAACTCCTGGGCTCAAGCAGTCCTCCCACCTCAGCCTCCCGAGTAGCTGGGACTACATGTGTGCAGCACCATACCGAGCTAAGTTTTGTATTTTCTGTATAGACAGAGTCTTGCCATGTTGCCCAGGCTGGTCTCAAACTTGTGGCCTCAAGGGATCCTCCCACCTCCGCCTCCCAAAGCGCTGGGATTACAGGTTCACACCATCACACCCAGGTCCTGGGGTTCACTTTAATAAAGACACTAATCCTGTTTATGAAGGTTCTACCCTTATAACTTGAGTACCTCTCAAAGACCCCACCTCATAAAACCATCACATTGGGGGTTAGGATTTCAACATATGAATTTGAGGGTTTGACACAAACATTTGGTTCATTACAAGAACAGAGGCCTTCCCCCAATACGGCTGCTTTTACCTGGAGAATCCTCCAAGTTACAAGGTGACTTTGCACAGGGCACTTCTCGTCTTTGAGCCTCTGTTTCCTCTCTGACAGTGAGGGACCTGGGCTGACATTGGCTGGAACCACCACGACTTAACGGGGAAGTCCTAGAGCCCCTGGGACTCATTTCAGCTCAGTAAGCACTCTCAGGGTCACCCGTCCAAAGCTGGATTTTTCCTAAACTCCGTTTGCTTTTCTCTCCATTCTTTTGCTCTGGATACTCCCATCTCCCTCAATTTTTCTTTCCTTTTTCCCTTCTCACTACCCACCTCCAATTTCAAAATGTGCAAATAGCAGAGCATCCCAGTGGAGTTGCCACGGCAACGGATGCTGGTTTTCCCTTTCCAAATGATGGGCCCCTTGGATGCCTCTCTCCCCTTTGCCTCCTCGGTGACCAGAGCTCAAGGAAGAAAGCAAGGTGTGTGGGCGCCTCAAACTGGATGGTCCCTTCCTTGCGCTTGCAAAATGCCCAGGTCGTAGAGACCGAGGGGCCAGGACAGGGGAAGCCATGGTGCCAGTTTTAGTTTGCTGGGGCTGCTGTAACAAAGTATCAAAAACCGGGTGGTTTTATCAGAAGCATTCTCTCACAGTTGTGGGGGCGGACGCCTGTGATCAGGGTGTCCCAGGGCTGGTTTCTCCTGAGGCCTTTTCTCCTGGCTTGCAGGTGGCCGTCGTCATCCCCTCTCGGTTTCTTCCTGTCTGTCCAGGCTTTTTTTTTTTTTTTTTTTTTTTTTTTTTTTGAGATGAGGTCTCGCTCTGTAGCCCAGGCTGGAGTGCGGTGGCCGGATCTCAGCTCACTGCAAGCTCCGCCTCCCGGGTTTACGCCATTCTCCTGCCTCAGCCTCCCGAGTAGCTGGGACTACAGGCGTCTGCCACCTCGCCTGGCTAGGTTTTTTTTGTATTTTTTAGTAGAGACGGGGTTTCACCATGTTATCCAGGATGGTCTCGATCTCCTGATCTGTGATCCGCCCGTCTCGGCCTCTCAAAGTGCTGGGATTACAGGCTTGAGCCACCGAGCCCAGCCCAGGTTTCCTCTTCTTACAACACACCTCTCCTGTTTGGATGAGGACCTACCTGAGTAACTCCACTTTAAAGACTCCCTGTAGCTGTAAAGATCCCATCTCCAAATAAAGAGGCCGAAATGGGGTGCCGGTGCCTCTTCCCGCTCCCTCAGCCTAGGATGCCAGAGAGAGGGGACCAGATGTTGTCTGAAAGGAGGCACCAGGCCCAGCAAAGCTCCGTTTGCACCAGCCTGAGTTATTTTAGACTCTAAATTGTACCTTCATTGGGATCCAGAGTTAAAATGAGGATTTGCCATGGGAGCAGCTGGGTGAGTCGTAGAGATAAGGAAAACCCCCCAAGGAATCCGTGTCTTCCACCGCACAGCCGTGGCCAGGAGTTCACAGGCATCCCAGGGCACCAAGCAGAGGACACTTGGGGTTCGTCCAGACAGGGCCAGCACTGGATGAGCCGGGATGAGGTCAGGCTGTGTTCGAGGAGCTGGGACCTGGGCACGGGGCAGGTGTGCCATCAGCTCAGGATCTGGTGCTTAGATGAAGCTGAAACAGAGACAGTCACTTCATGGGGAGAGGTGTCACCTCATGGAGCCCATCCCAGTGGGCCACTCAACCTAGGCCAACCCCTCCTGACCAGGGACCTCTCTCACCTGCTGTCTGGCCTACAAATTATTTTTGAGATTCGTCCCTGGAATGTGACGGTGTTCATGGTTTCTCTAGACCGACCCAGGGGTAAAAACCCCTCGATCCTTGCCGTCTAAGGTGGATGCTACCCCTGATCCATAAGTCCTGTGGAGTGGCCTCTGCCCTGCCCACCAGCTCACACCTTTTAGCCCGTGTCCCTGAGTCCCTGAGGTAAGGCGGCTTGGCTCCCGCTGAGACCGAGAGCCCCGAGACAGGCGCTTCAGCAGAATCAGCCCCACACCCGTGTCTCCTCCTCCCAAATTCTTACCTTCAGTTTACTAGACTCTAGACTATGTCCCGCTGCCCAGTTGACTACTCCTGTGGGGGAATCTCAAAGGGTCCTCTAATGCAATGTGTCCACAACCAAGCTCCCCACCCCCACCCCAAGCACATAGATTTCCCTCTTTGTTCATGATCCACCCAAGCCGGGTGGCTAAGCATCATCCACAGTTTGTTACCCCATGTCCAGTCCATCAGCCAGTCCAGTCCTGTCCATCAGCCAATCCAGTCCAGGCTCCAAATTCCAACTGACATATTGCACTTCTTTCCATTCCCACTGTCTCTACTCAAGCCCATTCCAGAGACTACACAGACCAGTGTAGTAGCTTCCCAGCCGGGCTCCATGTTCTACTCCTACAACCCAGTCTCCACCCCAGGAGCTGGAAGAGGGATTTTCCAACAAAGACCATAAATCAGATTGTGGTACACACCCTCCCCCTCGAGACACTTCATCACAGCAGGTTTAGTATCAACACCAGATTCCCCCTGGCCTGGGAGGCCCAGTGTGATAGGATCCTTCCCAGGTCTTCACTTTTTTTTGCTCCTGCCCCCTGCTCTCTGCATTTTGGCTGCACCTGTGTCCCTCTACTCCTAGACCACCCTATCCAAATTGGGCTCTGCTCCTCTTCTAACTGGTCACAGCTCTGCTTTGGTCTTTTGGTTCTCCTCCCAGTTGGATCATTCATTTATTCCTGTGCTTATTTATTGTCTAGCTCTAAACTCCCTGAGGTCTGGCCTATTCCCTGCCTTTCTCTTTTGGCCTGGGGGTCGGCATCTGCTGGGATTGTCTCAACTCACAAACCCTGCAGCCTGCAGAGGCAACTGTAGGTTGCTGTATTTGCACCTGCCTGGAGGAGTCAAAGAAACAAACCCTGAGGCCCTGAGCTACAGAGTTAACTGGCTCGTAGAGAAGGCCAACTCAGTGCAATTAACTCTGGCACGGACGTTTGTGTAGTTTTAAAAAAATAACCTAAAAAGCCTGCTTTCCTCCAAATAAGACTTTTGATGGAAATTCTGATGGAAATCGTGTTTTGATGCAAGTTCAGTTGCAGCTAGGGCTAGGGATTTTTTGTCAGAACACACAATAATTCTGCCTCTTATTTTAGAGCTTGTATTTCAATGCTGTATGGTGTAGGAAAACATAAATTTTCATCTTAATATACCTTTTGAGGCGTCAGAGCCATTACAGACCTTGTTTTATAGTGTTTTAAAAGCATTAGTCCTTCACGACCCATTTTTAAGAGGACAGACTGGAGGAGCAAAACCATTAGTAGGTTTGGGACTCATTTATTTTCACATGGAAACAGAGGCATAATAGCAGGTCTTGCTGTTAAACATGACCTTCCAACTGCAGGGTTAAAACCCACAGGGAAGCGGCAGGATTTACTAACCTGGGCCTGATTTAAATGCCTGGTGGTAGCTGCCAGCTTGGACTGATGGTACCTGCAGAGGGGGCAGGCCGGCATGCTTCCCTCCCACAAGGGAATCCGGAGAGGTCAGTGCTGCTCTCCATGTGCCCAGCAGGTGGAGGGACGACCTTTCCCTGGGTCCTGGGAAGAGAGTGTCCCCTGAGACGCACGTGGCTCCTACAGAAAGAATTTGGAATGAAGGAGCTTTATAGTGTGATTCACATACACATTTTCTTTTATTTCTTTTTTGCTTGTTTGTTTAAATAGAGATGGGATTTTGCCATGTTGCCCAGGCTGGTCTCGAACCCCTGGTCCTGGGCCCAAGTGATCCTCCCACCTCAGTCTGCCAAAGTGCAGGGACTACAGGCATGAGCCATCGTACCAGGCCCCTTGCATATCTTTCTAAAACTATAAATGCATGCTTGCATTTCATTTTATACTTTTTATGACATTGAGAGGTCAAAGGACGAGTAATCATCCATTTTCTTCAAGCGAGAGAGTGGGGGAGAAATGGTTAACTATTTGTCCTGGTTCATTCACCCAACTGGTAGAAAAGCAAGACTGAGTCCCAGTCCCTGGGCACCTTGCATTCTCCCACTCCACACATCGGGATTGAAGATGGACAGATGAAAGACACACTCTGTTGGTCTAATTCTTATTCCCTTCTTCCTTCCTGTATTCCACAGACCATTTCTACCTTCAAAATGTTCTTGCGTGGGGTTACATAAAGAGACCTGTCACCATGGGTGGTGGGAGAGGTCTGAAGGGCAGGTGTGCATGAGAATAACATGGCCTGAGGGGAGAAGGGGCCTGTGAGGGGACATTCAGGCTGATGAGAGTCTGGGGGTGCCAAGTACAGAGCTGAGAAAATCCCCCGTACCCAAGTAACTCATAGCCATGGGGGCTTTGGGGCAGGTAGAGAAGGTTTGACCAGGTGTGATAGGGTATGAAGGTGAGGGGATCAGGTGAGTTGTGTTCGCCTTGGTCTGGAGCAAAGAGGCTTCTGAGAGAAAGGGGCTCCTACCACGTGAAGGGAGCAAGGGGCAGGGTCGGATGCTGGGGGAGGCTGGAGGTGGGGATGTTTGCTCTGCAGGGAAGGAGATAGGCAGCGTTCTTTGTGGAACACACGAGGATGACTGCTGAGCCTGGGTGCTGTGGAATTGTTGCCAAGGCTGAATTTGGAAGAGTCGTTGGCATCCCATTGATCAGTCCCAGCTGTGAGCTGGACCCCGGGACATGGTTTCTGACTGTCCCTGGAGGTGTGGTGCTCCAGAGTTCACTCATCTATCCTTGTATTTAGCCCTGATAGGGAAAGAGGGCTTAGTGCATCTCTTCAGCTATACTGCACACCAGCCTCGAGGGTAGAACCAGTCTGTGGGTAACAAGCTTCCTGGCATGTTTTCTCACTTCATGGGGGTCAAACCACGTTCAAGGGCAGGGACTTGACCCTGTTTTGTCACTTGCTGGTTCTGTGTCTTAAGTTTCTCAACTTCTCTGAAGAGGTTTCCCTGACTCTGTTGTGGAGGTGATGACATCTATCGTCTACGCATGATGCCATTCATCCACTTTTCTGACTATCCATCTGTCCACCTATCTACCTGTCATCCATTCATCCACCCACTCACCCATCCGTCTACCCATCTTTCCATCTATCCATTCGCCTGCCTACCCACTTCATCCATTTGTCCATCCATCCGTCCATCCACCCACACACTTATCCATCTATCAGTCCATCTGTCCACTCACCCATCTACCCATCTTTCCATCCACCTACTCACCTGCCTACCACTTCTCCGTTCATCCATCTGTTCATCCATTCATCAGTCCATCCATCTATCCCTCCACCCACCTACCCATCCATCTACCCATCTATATATCCATTTATTCATTCGTCCATCTATCTATCTCTTCATCTATTCATCCACTTGCCTACTTACCCTCATCTACCCATCCATCCAGACGTCTGTTCATCTCTCTATTATCTCTACATTCATTCTGTCCATCTAATTCATCCACCCACCTATCTGTTTATCTACTCACCCACCCACCATTCTGTGTATCCACTCACCTCTCCACTCCTCCACCCACCCATCCAGAGCAGTGCTGTATTAAACATTTTATGACTCTAGGCTCAAAACCAGTGCTCCACTACAGAAAGGACAGCGTGAGACTCAGGGCAAGGTGGGCTGCCCAGTAGTAAAAACCAAGTACTCAGGAATGCCTGTGGGAGGGACGAGCGTGTACAGATGTGTGGACAACACATTCCTGAAAACAGCTTTGGCCAAGACCCTGCCGTGGGAAAGAACTTGCTTGGGATCTCCCAGATGCCGGGGGTAGCCAGATGGAGGTGTGAGTGGGAGGTGCATAGTCCAGGAGAAGAGATAGTAAAGTTAGCCTGGAGATAGGAGCCAGGTCCCTTGAGCCTCATGTTCGAAATCAGGGGTCTGGGTTCTGTTCTAAATGTGGATAACCTTTAAGGAGTTTTAGCAAAGAAGTTTCCATGATTTATATTGTTAAAAAGAATCCTTTGGCTGTTACGTGGATAGCTGTCTTTAGCGAGGAAGGAAGCGGGGCTCACATTGGGAGGCTGCTGCCATGTCCATGGGATACTCAGCCATGGGCATGAGACTGGAGAGCCATGGTCAGGTTGAAATCTGCCTTGCTGCTACGTGTTGGGTGTACAGGTCATGCCTGGGTTTCCAGTCTGGCCCACTGAGTGGATGGCAAAGACTTTCAGGAGGCCGTGGGCTTTTGCATGGCACACTGCCATGCCTGCAGCTTCAGACATGGGTATCACGTGCCCCCTGTCTGCCTGGCATGGCCATGACTAAGAGAAGAGCAGCCTGGCCGCACAGTGCAATATGAATTTAGTGGCAGTTGCTGCTGTTATTTTATATGAACATGGCAGTGAATTCTGATGACTCCGTTTAAAATGGATCACGGACAGGGGACAGGAAGCAGATGCTTTGGGTGGTTTCACAGCAGCACTCGGCTCTTTCTGGACAGAGCACGGGCTGGATACAACCCTCACCCTAAATTTAGCTCCTGGCACATTTGGGCTGGGATGAAAGCTGAGAAGCACAGGTCATGGGTGTGCTATGATTTGAATAATTCCCTCTCCAACTGGTGTCTTGCAACTTGCCACAGGCCTGGAGAATCCATCAGGGCTACAGTACAAGGATTCCAAGGTGGGATAGGGGGAGGCTGCAGTGAAGCACCCACACA